CAGTAACATCTCAGTTTTTATCACTACAGTCAGTAATATCTCAGCTTTATCACTACAGTCAGGAATATCTCAGCTTTATCACTACAGTCTGTAATATCTCAGCTTTATGACCACGGTCTGTAATATCCCAGCTTCATCACCACAGTCTGTAATATCTCAGCTTTATCACCACAGTCTGTAATATCTCAGCTTTATCACCACAGTCTGTAATATCTCAGCTTTATCACCACAGTCTGTAATATCTCAGCTTTATCACTACAGTCTGTAATATCCCAGCTTCATCACCACGGTCTGTAATATCTCAGCTTTATCACCACAGTCTGTAATATCTCAGCTTTATCACCACAGTCTGTAATATCTCAGCTTTATCACCAGTCAGTAATATCCCAGCTTTATCACTACAGTCAGTAACATATCCGCTGTATCACTATAGTCAGTAATATGTCAGCTTTATCACTACAGTCAGTAATATCCCAGCTTCATCACCACGGTCTGTAATATCTCAGCTTTATCACCAGAGTCTGTAATATCTCAGCTTTATCACCACAGTCAGTAATATCCCAGCTTTATCACTACAGTCAGTAACATATCCGCTTTATCACTACAGTCAGTAATATCTCAGCTTCATCACTACAGTCTGTAATATCTCAGCTTTATCACTACAGTCAGTAATATCTCAGCTTTATCACCACAGTCAGTAATATCTCAGCTTTATCACCACAGTCAGTAATATCTCAGCTTCATCACTACAGTCTGTAATATCTCAGCTTTATCACTACAGTCTGTAATATCTCAGCTTTATCACTACAGTCAGTAATATCCCAGCTTTATCACTCACTACAGTCAGTAACATATCTGCTTTATCACTTCAGTCAGTAACATCTCAGCTTCATCACTACAGTCTGTAATATCTCAGCTTGATCACTCACGACAGTCAGTAACATATCCGCTTTATCACTACAGTCAGTAATATCTGTTTATGAATCACCATCAAATAGTGATAAATCAAAGGTGAGAGTATCCTGCCCCACCGGTGGCATCCGTCACAAACACATGCAAAGGCAAGTCAATTGTTCACCTGCAAAATACACGGGAACATATGGAACAAGGTGAGGTGAGGTGAAATGGGGTTTAACGTCGCGCCCAAGATCATTACACTTATATAGCGACGTGCATGCACGTGTGTGTGTGTGTGGCTGCTTGTACTAGTCCGGACTGATGCCGATTTATAGTGCTAGCCCACTGAGATACCATACCGCAGTTTAACATGAATACCCAAATCAGACACAGTATACTGACTCCGAGCCGACCAGTTCTTGTTTTAACCCCTTAGTGCCGAGCGCCAGACAGAGTAACAACAAGTACCATTTTTTAACGTTTTTTGGTATGTTGCGGCCCGAGGATCGACCCGGGCAGACGCTCTACCACTAGACCACACAGGTAGTACATATGGTACTAGTCAAAATACTCTTCTCATCTACAAATTAAGCACCCGTTGTATCTCATGTTTTGCCAGCCCCGGGGTACAGACAAAGCTTTATGCCATCTTTACTGTAGCCTTATTTCTTTCAATTCAGTCAATCCCCGTTGAGATTGCGGGTTAGAATAGACCCACTGTAGCGTCTGCTTGTTATACATGGCGATAAATTGACTGGGTGTCCAGGCGTAATGATATGGCTGACTGCATGTCCCGATATCCCGGCGTTATATCTGGAGTCCAGATTCATACCTTTACAGGCTGACGATGGGGCACGGGTGGCCCAGTCGTTTAAGGCGCCACGATTCGCTGAGTTGCGTCCCTCGGGCACGCCAGAAACGTATGATTGTGGGTTCGAATCCCGGTTCGCCCCGATTATGTTTCTAGGTTTGTCAGCACCATACCCGTGCTCGTGGGTTTCACTGAAGTGGTAAACGTCTGAGGCCTGCATCTCTTCGGGCTTTCCCCCCACATTAAGCTGACGCCGTGATATAACTGGAATACTGTTAAAAGCGGCGTTAAACCAAACTCACTCACTCACAGGCTGACGTAATGCGACTAAGATATGGCTATAAGGACTTAAACAAATATGTTTTAGTTCAATCAGAAATGCTACTCGATGACAAAACAGTTACTAAATATCCCAAGCAGGTTGTTTGAATGATAATGCACAATTGACAAACGTTTCTTGATTATACTGCAAGTTGTGGTGCCATATATAGAGAAAATACGGTAAACTCTATTGTTTTCGACTGTAGTGAGGCCTTGATATACATAACACAGATCAAACAAGGACAAATTGACGTTCAAATGATAAAGCTTTGTAACCTATTTCAGTGGTATCACAGCTTGTGCTGGGTCACAAACGGTATTGTCACAGTGGTATTCAATTTCCACAGAAAGTTGAAACCTTTTGCAGGCCTCATTTGGTTAACATAATAACAACATACACTATATCCTGATTCATTGTTCGTGATGCTGTCAATCAGTTTACTTGATCCGTTTCAATGGTATCACAGCTTGTGCTGGGTCACAAACGGTATTGTCACAGTGGTATTCAGTTTCCACAGAAAGTTGAAACCTTTTGCAGGCCTCATTTGGTTAACATAATAACAACATACACTATATCCTGATTCATTGTTCGTGATGCTGTCATTCAGTTTACTTGATCCGTTTCAGAGGCCGTAGTTCCTCGTTGTTTTAGACCAATGGCTTTTTATATATGTCCCACGGCGCTTACTGAATTACTCTTGAATCTCATTGTCTTTTAAAAACGAACAACATTCCCGAAAGAGTTATCCCCCTTGATAGTTGCTCGAAATCTCCACTCGACTGAAACCTCCGTCTCATCTCGGCCAGCATTTGAAAGAATCTGCATTCGAATTTTAAAAGTTTCATTTGTTTACTTGACTATCACGTTACGCGTTTTGGCAGGACTTAGAATAATGTACATTCCAGTTTGAGTCACTAGTTTCACTTGTTCGAGTGACTATCACAAAACACAACAGGGCCTGGTATCTTTCGCTGTGCGGTATCAAATAGGTCTTCCTGGTTTCCAAAATATAATTACAATTTTAAAACAATCTTAAAAGCAACTTTCATGTTGCAAGAACTTTATACGGAGGGGTCGGTCGGTTCCCAATGTAATCATACAACATCACACAACTGTTGCCCGAGGTAGTATGTCAACTCATTCGTGACCAACTCGTGTTATTCCGGGACAAGCCGAATAGCTCTTCTTGCAGGTTACGGAAAGGGGCGAGTGGTGGCGAATGATGTCAACTAGGCAACGGGAAAACCCGAAGGGACCCGAATGAGATAAGCTCCATTCCAGTGCCTGACACCTTCTCTACCTCCGAGAAAGGGCTGTCGTTGTGAGGAGCTTTGTGCACAGACCATGCTGGACAATGCTGGACATGACCACCTGACCAGACAAACCATCCTCTGTCCAACTCAAGGTTACTCAGGCAACCAAACGAACAAACCACGTCATCTGAGAGGTGTTTTAATGGAAAACATGGTATGTGGACAAGCTCAAAATATTTTCATATTGACACCTTGTCGATTGTTCAGGCAGCTCATTCTAACACTGAGCTTTTTCAGAAGACAGAAAACTAGAATAATCAACATATATCTTGGCCGTGGCACAATAATCAGATATTTCTTGCTAATTGCCAAACATTGATCTCAATACATTGTCTGGTAATGGTGATAGTTTTCAATACAATTTTATGCGAACTTGTATGAAGAGATGCACTGAAAAGACATGGATATGAGTCACTACATTGTAATCGAGAAAGGGGACAAAACCAAGGAATAAATATTTTGTCGTTAAATAATTTTCATAAATTGATATATAATTTTCAAATAATAGTAAACGATTAATGCGACTCTTGGTGCCATTTCTTTAAATATGTTTCTTAAATAAATAATTTGGTGTTGCACAAAACACATCGCGCAGCTACAAATAAAATAGATTCTGTCTGCAATATTCATCAGAAACTGAAATTAAAAATAGATTTAACCGTCGGGAATAACTGTCTACATAGGATACAAAGAGTGACAGAAGGATACAACGATGATACAACGGTCTTAAGATGCCTGGACAAGTTTCAAGACTGGTGAACTATATGCATTGTCATGAACATGATGGTAAAAATGGTCATATGCATGCTCGAACATTTGCAAGATAATCATAAATATGTTCTTTATTTTGTTTGGTTTGGTTCGTACTTTACGCCGCACTTAGCAATATTCCACCTATATGACGGCGATCTGTAAATAATCGAGTCTGATTAATCGAATCGATGCTCGAGTGGCTGACATCATGAGCATCGATCCACGCAATTGGGATACGATGACATGCATCAACCAAGTCAGCGAGCCTGACTACCCGGTCCCGTCAGTCGCCTCCCATGACAAGCATAGTCGCCTTTTATGGCAAGCATGGGTTGCTGAAGATTTATTCTCATCGCTTCTCCTCTACAATACGGGGCGTTGCCTTTGAAATACAGGGAAATATTTAAAAAAATTATTTTTCTTAAATGTATTGATTGAAGTAAAGACCATATGTTATATTGACGCATTAATTGGGTTTCCAGTCATGGAATTGTGCCGAAAATGAGCTCACCTTTTCGCGAACACCTGGTATCCTCATAGTATTTTTTAAACACAAGTTCATGATATGGTTGGAGTGGTACACTGGAAAATCACGGAGATTTCGTATGATGATGAAAAGGGTTTTGTCGCTTCTATTCTATTTCAGAGACCATGGTTCCGTGGTGTACTGTTTTCACAAAATCCCTCATCAATCTCATCGTCTTATGAAAGACAAGATTACTGCCAGTCCCTGACACGTTTCCCAGCGCCATTCGAGAAAGTGGTGTGGATGTGGGCAGCGTGGTTCACAGGCTACCATCCTTTGTATCAATGCAGGGTATTGAACGTGATCCACACTCCACACTCCACACTCCAACGGAATGTTATCAGGGCGGACGAGTAAATTAATAAAGAACAAACTACATCACTTAAGAGATATTTTAATAGAAAAAAAATAGCATTTTGACAAGCTCAAAATATGTTCAAAATTCACAAAACCCTGTAGACGTTCAGACCGCGCGTGTGCGCAAAGCGCTTTTTCATTAAATTGGAAACTTCAAATAACCACCATATACACATCTTGGTCGTGACACAGTTGTAAATTATTTCTTGATTATTGCCAAACGATAAAAAAATCATTGTCTCCTAATCAAGACAAATTCCGTCAAAATTAATGCGAACCTATCCACAGAATTATCCGACTATGAACTTACAAGAAATGTAATCCATGGTGTGTCGACATGTACGAAAGTCTCGACAAGCAACGTCGGTCTCTACAAGGGACAAAACGAGAACACAGAAAAAATGTATTTTAGTAAATCTTCATACATAAATATCAAAATTTCAAATTATGTTAAAGTTTTAATCGGCTCCTGATACCATTTCTTCAGATATTTTTCTTTGATACATAATTTGATATTGAACAACAAACAACTAGATACTGTCGACACAATTGGGTACAGAAATAAAGATGTTTGGAGTACCTGCCGAAATGTACAGTATAACTGTCTACATATGGTACAACGAGTGATAGAATGATGCAAAGATAATACAACGGATACATGATGTTGAGGCAAGTTTCAAGGTTGGTGGGTAATATGGTTGGCACACGATGGTAAAAATGACCATACGCATGCTCGATCATTTCCAAGGCCATCGTAGTGAGTGAGTGTGATTTTACGCCGCTTTTAGCAATATTCCAGCAATATCACGGCGGGAGACACCAGAAATGGGCTTCACACATTGTACGCATGTCGGGAATCGAACCCGGGTCTTCGGCGTGACGAGCGAACGCTTTAACATCTAGGCTACCCGACCGCCCCCAAGGGCATCAGAAACATGTCGCTTCTATTCTACAATACGGGATGTTGCTTTTGAAATAAAATACATATGGATCTCTGAGATTATGAAAAACAAGCTTGAATCATTACAAATAATGAACTGTCATCAAGGAAATATCTTTTGAATTGGAAAATGTATTCATTGATATATTGACGTATTAATTGGGATTCCGGAAATGAAATTTTGCCCAAAAGGCGTTAAATAGATTGCGGATTGTGAGCAGTTCACACACGATAATCGCATCAGTTAATGCACAAGGATAGAATGAAACAGTTCCTTGTGTCCAGCAGCATGAAAATATTCTAAATATATATTAAGCCTCGACACTGCAAACCACGCGAACTTCAACATATCACGTGAAAGGTGTATATTTCACGTCAATCACTCTCAGTACAAGCGCGTGGTCCACGTGATACCATGTATATGTTTAGGTTGAGGATTGAACACACAGAAACTAACACGTGTTGTTTAGTATAAACTTTCAGTTGAATAAAACACACATCCTTTGTTAAAGTATCATTTTTAAAACAAAAAGTTAACAATATTTTTAGGAATCACATTAGACAATTATTATACAGCAATTGGTTTGAAAAGGACATTCATCTTTTATATTTGTTTCCATAACACTGAGCAATGACAAATCCGCAAGAACAACACACTCTGTACACAACAATATACAAGAACAAACGAACAACATGCTGCCTTCCATTACGGAATTGTAATGGTCCCTATAATCATTTCTAAAATCCTGAACTCATTCTTCGGTTTTATTTATCCGTGTGCAAACTATTCTCTTGCCGGTTTTCGTCAGAAGCCAATTCGAGTTATATCCCTTGATTATGGGCGTTTAGCAAAACAGTTAGATCTAAATGGTTCGCTATCCATTACTTCAACGAGATCAGATTTCAGAAATATTGTTAAGTTCGCTACATAGAATATTCTGGCAAATACACGATCTTCGCTGTGCATGTTGGGATTTTTATTTCGGTGTGGAAACTAGTGTGTTTTAGAATTGTTTTCGAATTCAACCTTCAAGTAAATACTATAACTCAACGAATGAAGGAAACACAAGTCGTTTAGTTGACACACTGTTTAAAAGAAGAAGATGCAAATAAGAACCATTTTTGATATTGAATAAAGAAAATTAAAACAAGCCAGATGGACATATTGGCAACTTACGGGATAATACGATAAGTAAAATTGTTTCATAACACATGCTCTGATACATGTCCAAACGTAAGATAAGCATTGGCAACCACAAAGGTCCAGGTCGATGCCAAGGTCAAAAGTAGATCATTGATGAGTTTATTCTTTACAAATGCCAGAAGCAATATATAGATAAATCTGTAGTTGCCGGCATAGAAAAACGCAATATAGCAATTATTTACGAGGACATTTCCTTATTAAAATATATATGAACTACATCGTATATTTCCAGTAGCAATCATCTTTCTATTGACTACACTGAAATGCCTGGAATTTCAAACAACAAAACAAAACCTCCTTCAAAAAACACTTACAAGCACAACTAGTTGATCTAACAGTTCTCATAGAGAGCGTTTAGGTCCTAAATCACTTTCCAGAGTGTTTAGGTTCGTTATCTGTAACTAATTCATTCTAGGATTGAACCAAGCACTCAAAATAGAAAAGTAACTCTTTGTTCTTCATAGCTGCAGGATGTTCACGCGCTGAAATGGAAGGATGAGAAAAGTTTAAATGGTGTCTTATAAACAGTATCTTTACATATATGTATATCCATGCAGAAAATACAATGTGGGCGATATGAAATGTCATGACTGGACAATGTATAATTGTATGACGAAATTTTGAACAATGGCAATCCAACCGAGAAATTAATCAGATGTTTGCATGAAAGACCTTACTTCTCTTGCGAATATACGAGTACTCAGTACTCAGTACTCAGATTGATCAATCTTATGAAAAGGAAAGAATCAATGTTATCATAATGCCCATCATCATCATAAAAAGTATTAATCATAAGCATAACATTCAACCTGTTGACTTACTTCACGTCTCTGATGGCACAGCACAATACCATGGAGAAGATCATTCCCAAAATCTGAAAATGAAGATGAAGATATTATCAAGTATTCTTTGATAGTAGTGAATGAGATTTATGTCACTTTCAGAATCTCATATGGAAGTGGTTTTGCACATTGTACCCATGCCTTTGGCATGAGTGGGTGAGCTGGGTTTAACGCTTGGAACAGTATTGCAGTTATAATATCAGCTTAATGTTGGAGGAAAGCCTGAAGTGACCTCAGACGTTTAGCACTTTGATTAAACCCATGAGCACGGCTTTTGTGACAAATATGGAAACATAACCGGAGCGAATCGGGATTCAAACCCACAATCGTAGGTTTCTGGTGTGCCCAAAGGACACAACTCTGCACTGCTATTATCAAGTATTACCTGTCAGAGGCGAAAGCGACGGATTTTATGTCATTTTCTGAAAACCACACACCAAAACAGTCTTTCTATATACTACCCAACCTTGGCCTTTGGCAGGGCGAGGTAACGTGTCAACCACCAGGCTCGCCCATCACCCCAACGCTCCTTCAAACTTGACATACAAATATATCGAATACGTCTTCGCGTGTAATAGGCGACCAATAGCTGTTTCACAAAAATACAATCCCCCGGCTAAATAAAAGGGTGAAGTTGTTTTCCCATACTTTCAAATTATTCCTTTATTCACGGTACCTTTCAGAAATAGACGTCTTTATTTCCAAAGAGCATAACCACTTATTCTGAACGTAGTTGTTCTCATTCAGCAGTTGTTAGAGACGCGTTGGAAAACAGTTCCCGTCCAAAGAATAAAAGATACTTCTTTTAGTCTTGGCCCGCGGTTACAGAAGGACCTGAAGACCAGTGAGAAACACCAGCAAAATGTAACCATGATCAACAATGTTGAATATGGACCCACCATGATCAGGGCAATGCCGATAGCAACTCCGGCGACGATGATGAGGTGAGATGACAATATCTTGAACAGTTTCTCAACGCAGGGCTGCAAATACATCATACATAATTAATAATACATGTTATTAAGTTACTAATATATATTAACAAAGGAAATTAATTAAAATCAAATTCTGTAAATGAATAGCGTTGTATAATGAGCTCAACGGCATTCGAGTTGTGTTTTTTCGACCAAATAATCCAGCGGTCGATCGTCAGAGCTACTGGTCGGGTCCCCTACGAATGTTGCACCCACTCAGTCATGTCACAGCTGAGATTTGGTGGTCCTAATAAGCATCATAATATTATCCATTATCAGGAGATATTGTGACCAACTGTTTAGCCTCAAGACACTCACCCTCTTGTAGTTCACTGGTTTGCAGGTGTCTGGAACTCCAGGAACGATTGCATAATCTGCTGACCCCGTTTTGGCGCCACAGCACTCGAGCTGAAAAGATAACATGAAGTGAGATCTATGGTGTTTGTGGTACCTTTGATGTATCAAATATTAATAATGAGCTGTACCCTTATCATGGCCAACAAGCAGATGTTTGGTGGATCGACTCATCATGAAGGTTATGTTCCCGATGGAGCGTCCACTAGCCTTTTCATCAAAGTCTTGTTTCTACCCTTTGCCACATCAAGTCCCCTATCCTGTGCTAAATATGATTGGACTATCGCACATATCCATAGTCCAATCAGAAAACGTTTCCGAAAATCAGCATCCACGACTTCGTATGAAAGTGATTAACCGCTGCCTGTCTTTGTCGACACGAATATGTCTTTTTCATCTTTTAAATCCCTCAATGATATGTTTTGTGTCAGGGATGAAATCGCGAATGTTTTCGTTATCTGATCGACGGGGTCGTCGCCTATGGTTGTCGTTATTTTTGTGCAGCTATACGAGATAAGAACCGCGATCTGATTGGATATCGCGTTTTCATTACAAGGAGCACAACTCGTGATACACGCGAGGTGGCGCCAGGGTCGAGCGAAGAAAAGTGGCCTTGATGTGGCAAGGGTAGAAACTAGGCCTTGATATAGGCTAGTCGACACGTTTGCCTCGGGGAGATGGATGAGTGAGTGAGTGAGTTTGGTTTTACGCCGCTTTTAGCAATATTCCAGCAATATCACGGCGGGGGACACCACAAATGGGCTTCACACATTGTACCCATGTCGGGAATCGAACCCGGGTCTTTGGCGTGACGAGCGAACGCTTTAACCACCAGGCTACCCGACCGCCCCTGGGAGACGGATGAAGGGAGATGACAAGGCAACCAGTGGTTGATGGTTCTTACAAAGTACCCCGCCTTTGTGAGAAGGTGACATAAAATCAGTTTAGTTACAAATGACCTGAATTAGCTCGTACACGTATAGGTACCTATTTTACCCATCGTATATCATTTTTTTTATAAATTATGTGAAACGTCCTCACACATTGCACACATGCATGTCTGGTCTAACAGCATCATAAACCCGCATCATGTATAAGAAAGTATACACACCCCGTTTACAGGTGAATGAGTGAGTGAGTGAGTTTGGTTTTAACGCCGCTTTGAACAGTATTCCAGTTATATCATGGCGTGTCTGCTAAATGTGGGAGACAAGCCCGATGTGTTACTGGTCTCATGCTGACGAACCTACAAACATGATCGGTGCGAACCGGGATTCGAACCCACAAGCATAGGTTTTTGACGTGCCCAAGGGACGCAACTCTGCACAGCGAATTGTGGCGCTTTAGACGACCGGGCCATTTGCGAGTATAATAAATTTTAGAATATATGACAACGTGTCAGCTTCATATGGGACGAGCCTTCACATTATCGGGACGAACCTGGGATTCGAATTCACGATCTCGGATCCTGGCACACCACAGGGACGCAACTCTACACAGAATGAATAACATTACCCTCGATTACAAGGCATCTCACAGATTTTTTTAATTTTCAAACATTTCAGTCTGTGTTGGAATCAGATGTGTTATAAAATGTCAATTGACAGTATTGTGTGTATTTTCAATGCAAAATTGTGTTTAGGGCATTTCTGTATAGGTGAGCGAGTGAGTTTGGTTTTACGCCGCTCTTAGCATCATTCGAGCAATATCACGGTGGGGAACCCCACAAATGGGCTTCACCCAAGGTACCCATGTGGGAAACTCGGGTCGTGACGAGCGAACGCTTAAACCACTAGGCTAATTTCTGTCTCGGTACTTAACAAGAACATCACGAGCATAAGGTAAGAAGAACCGCCAAGGGCCATGGTGCCTAAAGGTCAGTCAACTTCTTCAAATTTTAACAAAGTGTTGATGTAATCGTTATATCCATATATTCGTAATATACGATTTCGATATATCCAGAGAAAATAGGTCACACATTCCCCTGGTATTTATCTAAGATTGTGTTTGTTTGTTGTTTAACGCCGCACTCACCAATTTTCCACCTGTATGACGGCGGTCCGTAAATAATCGAGTCTGGACCAGACAATCCAGTGATTGATATCATGAACATCGATCCATGCCATTGGGATCGATGACATGCATCAACCAAGTCAGCAAGCCTGACCACCCGATCCTGTTAGTCGCCTCTTACGACAACATAGTTGCCTCTTACAGCAAGAAGGGTTGCTGAAGACCTATTCTACCTTTATTTAAGAAATCAAGCATCGCTACATTATGCTTGTCGTAAATGAATCCTATGGCCATATGATGTGATTGCTTGTCATCGTACTTAAAACACATACTGGTTTGTGCATACTTGATTATTCACAGGTCGGCATATGTGTTCAATAATTGCCGAATGCAGCGGTATTGAAACAAAGACCTATCTCAGTCAGTGATGCAGCTCGATGTCAAAACAGTATTTGAACCATTCGGTGACACGAGAGTACCATTAATGATTTTGTTGAAACTAATATATACGATGCAGAGATTTTGCTGTTTATAAGTTAAAAAACCGTCTGGAAATATATTCATTTGGCGTTTGACCCAAGCAACAGCAACAGGGACTCTGACATACATCAGAATTCATCTGAAACCCCTGTCAGACATCTTTTAGTTAATATGTAAACGTCGCATGCTCATCCATCAGTCAACTAGTACCATCCTGACTCTTATTTCAGAGGCCGTGACTCCGTTGTGTATTCGTTTAAAAAAACTCCTGAATCTCATCGTTGTATGAAGGAGAAGCTCCATTTGAAGACAAGAATATTTTCTTCGCGGAAGTCCCGTTAAGAATCCGGGGTAGAATACGTCTTCAGCAACCCATGCTTGCCGTAAATGGTGACTATGCTTGTCGTAAAAGGCGACTAACGGGATCGGGTGGTCAGGCTCGCTAACTTGGTTGATGCATGTCATCGATCCCAATTGTGTGGATCGATTCGCATGCTATTAATCACTGGATTGTCTGGTCCAGACTCGATTATTTACAGACTGCCGTCATATAGCTGTAATATTGCTGAGTGCGGCGTTAAACAACAAACTAACCAACCAACATCTTCGCGGAAGTGTTGTGGTTGTGAGATGCTTAGTACACATTCCATTTAGGTGTATCAATGCAGGGTATTAAACGTGAACGGCAACCACACCACCAACTGTCCGTGGAGTGTTAATAGGACGAACGATAAATAAAGAACAAACCACACCATTTGAGAGAGGTTTTAATAGAAAACATGGCATATTGACAAGCTCAAAATATCTTTAAAATTCACAACACCTTGTAGATAGTTCAGACAGCGCATGCGCACAAAGCGCTTTTTCAGAAGACAGGATACTACAAATAACCAACATATACACATTTTGTTTGTGACACAGTTAAATTATTTATTGATTATTGCCAAACGATAACAATTCATTGTCTCCCGATCAACATAATTTCCGTCAAAAATTTATATTTCTTTAAAGAAATGGTATCCGTGGTATGTCCATGTTACGAGAGCTTCGACAAGTCGGTCTCTACATTGTAATCTAGAATAGGGAGAAAATGAAAACCCGAAAAACGTCCTCAAGTAAAAATTCATATAAAACGATCAAATGTTCAAATTATAATACAATTTAAACGACTTATATGATACCATTTCTTCAGATATTTTTCTTTAATACATAATTTGATATTGCACAACAAACATTGCGCCGCTGATAAACAACTAGATGCTGTCGACAACATTGGGTACAGAAATATAGATGTTTGGAGTACCTGCCGAAATGTACAGTATAACTTTCTACATAGGGTACAAAGAGTGATAGAATGATACAAAGATAATACAACAGTTATAAAATGCCTACACAAGTTTCAGGGATGGTGGATTATATGCATTGTTTCCCACACGATGGTAACATTGGCAAAATGAATGATCGAACATTTACAAAGGCATCTTTAATATGTCGCGGCCTTTCTACAATCCCAGCTATCACCTTTGAAAAACATACCTGGTTGTCACTAAAGCTTAAAAAAGCTCGATACATAACAATAGGTAAATAGCAAAAAGGGATTTTTTTCTTTCTTTTGGAAAATGTAATAATCGTGGTCGAGTCAATCGGTTATAAATCAATCGCATTAATTGGGTTTCCGGAAATGAAATGTTGCCCTAAATGCGTTTTAATAGATTGCGGATTGTGAGCAGTTCACACACGATGATCGCATCAGTTAATGCACAAGAATAGAATGAAACTGTTTCTTGTGTCCAGCAGCATGAAAATATTCTAAATATATATTAAGCCTCGACACTGCAAACCACGCGAACTTCAACATATCACGTGAAAGGTGTATATTTCACGTCAATCACTCTCAGTGACAGATGCGTCGTACAAGCACGTGGTCCACGTGATACCATGTATATGTTTAGGTTGAGGATTGAACACACAGAAACTAACACCTATTGTTTAGTATAAACTTTCAGTTGAAATAAAACGCAATTACATTGTTATATTATCAGTTGTGAAACGAAAATAATTGCAGGACTCGCCCTGAATATTTGTTATGCCAGATCAGTTGTTTCTAAAAGAAACTAGCTTTATTTTTCCAAAAAAAATCATAACAATCAGATGTCGACCCCACTAAGCCTTGACAAATCCGAAAAGCACAACACACTCTGTACACAACAATACACAAGAACAAACGAACAACAAGCTGCCTTCCATTACAAAACTGTAATGGGATCTAGTCATTTCTAATACCATGACCCCATTCTTCTGTTATGGCCTCTCTACCTATTACTTATACCCTTGCCTCGCACTTCAGTTCTAGAACTTCACGGCGTTGGTCAACAAATCTTGCATCGCTCTACAGCAGAAGCCATTTCGAGTTATCTCCCTTGAATACGGCCATGTAATAAAAGCGACAAACCAATTTTCATGATCTAATCACATACTAAACAGGATTGAAGGACACTGTCATATTGAAATGGTTCATTGTCCATTTGTTCAACACATCTGGTTGGTCAACCTTCAGCATC